AAAAACAGCAGAGACCAACTGCGTCAGTGAAACCTACACAGATGTTGAATTACTAGTTTCCATTTGATTCAATGGATCTACTCTAATTGGGACTAACAATTGGATTTAGGCCTTAGTGCTTTGTTGGTAATGAGAGTGGATTCTGCCAAGACTTGCCCTAAATGTAGAATCTTGCTCAAGATCATTGCACCTCTTTCTCCATCATGCATGGCAACAAAGATTAAACATTAAGAATGTTTGATATTCATTTCCTTCTATATGAAACAGAAGGATTTAAGAATATTGCCTTCACTGCATGTATTATATAACCAATGTATAGAAAAAATTGCTTCATTATTATATAACATTATTTAAGATTACTGCTGTATTACAAAATATATTTTACCAGCAAGCAGCACTTTGCTTTGCAAAATAATTTTTAATTTAGTTTAACATCTCCTATATTTATATTGCTGTAGTTGAATCCAAAATAATTTTTAATTTAGTTTAACATCTGCTATATTTATATTGCTGTATATTTAAGACGATGACATTCTGTTTGAATTAGCATGTGAAAATAGAGTTTCTATATTTTTAGAATCAAAAAGGACTACCTTTCATTCTAAAGAGCTGTTGTTATCTATGTATATCTATGTTTTTAAAATGTGACAAAATGAAAAGATCTAGAAGTTACAAAAGTATACATCAGTTAGAAAGGTAATAATAAGCTCTTTAGCTACAACATGTCCATGGTCTGTAAATATTCCCAGTAATTTAATTATTATTTTCTCAATTAAACTATATGGTTAAGTAGAATGAACAAATTGATATCAGTAGGTATATCTTCTGGCAAATTCTATAGGAACACAAATTATTTATTAGTGCACATAAATTATATTGAAAGTCTGCTATGATTGGCATTGACATATTCAAGGCAATTTTACTCTTAAATGCAATGTGTATGATATAAAGAGTCATGTACTGGAAATCTATATTACTGTATTGGAATACTTCTAGCCACATCCCTAAAATGTTGTATTATTTCCTGGACCCTGAGTGTTGTTGGCTTATGGCTTTGCACTGCGGGTATTTTCTTCCTATAGAATTAGAGCTTCTTTCCTTTTTTTTCTTTTTGGTCATTTTAAAAGGCAGCAGTCCTAAAAGTACTGTAGCTAGCATGATTTATGTCTCAATAAACATGCTAAGGACTGGGTTGTAAGGCTGCAATCCGTTGCACATTTACTTTGAAATAAGTTTCACTTGAACTCAGTGAAATTTGCTTCTGAGTAAATGTGCACAGGATTGTACTATACAGTTTGTGTCTTAAATTATACATGGTAGATATCCAGTGTGGTGTAGTGGATAGAATGATGGGCTAAGAACTAGGAGACCTAGGTTTGAATGCCCACTCAGCCGTAGAAACTCACTGATGGTGTGGAACTGGTAAACCCATTCCTTAAATATCTCATGCTCCTTGAAAGTCCTATCTGGGTCACTTTAAGATGGTTCTTACTTAATGGAACATAATAATAATGCAACACTAATTACATAACCAATTGTATCCCAGATGAGTGTCTTCCTGACACTGGATTGAGTCAGAAGTGGATACATAAACACTTCCTAGTTGTCTTAGTTATCGTTAAGATCAGAATGTAAAATGTTGAAATCATAGCTATGATTTCTTCAATTATCTTTTGAATGGATAGTAATCATTCTGCTTTTTTAAAAATACAAAAATGTTTATTCCTAGAAAGCTAACAACTTCTAACGATCTGTTCATCCCTTGCCTTATGCCAGACAGCTGACAACTACACACTGTGTTCTATATATTGGGGTAAACCTGCTATTTGCATTCAAAAACATAATAAACTTTGTAAGCACCTGTGTTTTTTTTTTAATGGATAGTGTGTGAACATCGTGCCATCCACAACAGAATGATTTCACACTTGCTTTCAGCTTTATCTTTTAAACATACACTCTTGACTTCATTTATAAGACTACTTACAGTAGTCTTAGTTGATACTAGATGCTGCTTAACTGGACATATTCCTTTGTCATTTATCTTTTTAGTTCAGGATACACCTTGAACTAGCTATATAAGATTTTTTTTCTGTTCTAATCAGTAGGCTGAATATAATGGTGGTGATTATTGTTCTTGGCCTAGTAGTGAGAGTTCACATACGGACCAGGAGTGTTGAAATAAATAGGGGGTCAGTTCCCCTTCCTTCGTCAAGCATGTGACATGGCATAACATCAAACATTAAAGACATCAAAGTGGGTAAGTTGCTTCCCAGGTTTTCATAGCATAAGACTTAAAAATATGTGGGAGAAAGGGAACATAAGCAAAGCTAAAACCACATATTCCTAACATGTATTGAATTTAGGTTAAAAGCAGTTAGTTTGCAAAAAAGTTTAAATCCATTACTAAAACCATAACTCAGATATAATATTAAAACAAATAATACTGAATGTTCCTATCTTTCCTATACAACACTATATTTAGTTGAAATTACTATGATCTGGAGACTGTACTGTTGTCACTCAGCAGCCACAAGTAGTAATATGCTCTTAAGATGAAATCTAATGTCTCACATTCTAGTATACAAGACATATACTGTACATCACAAATAGGCACACTATGCATAGAATATGATCAACAATTCCTTTTATGTAACAAAGCACAATGAAGAGAAAATCATACACCTTTAAATTCTATTGAACTGTCTATATAAGCAGCATAACACATTTAAGGATTTAATCTGGGCTGCAATCCTAAACACACTTCTTTGAGAGTAGACCTATTGTACATCGCAGGGCTTTTGAAAAACATAAATAGAATTAAAAACCAAAATCATCCTCCTTCACATCAATCTGCGCTGAAGTTTTAGGTGTGAAAAAGTATTGTGAAGTAACATATTTCTACAATGGGTGGTTTCTAACTGAAACTCTAGACTTTAGAATATTGTGTGGAATATAAATCTAAGTAAGTAAGTAAGTAAGTAAGTAAGTAAGTAAGTAAGTAAGTAAGTAAATATTTCTACAATGGGTGGTTTCTAACTGAAACTCTAGACTTTAGAATATTGTGTGGAATATAAATCTAAGTAAGTAAGTAAGTAAGTAAGTAAGTAAGTAAGTAAGTAAGTAAGTAAGTAAGTAAGTAAGTAAGTAAGTAAAATAGACCTCAATTAAGTAAAGAGAACTTCCCCATTAAAGAGACTGATAGCAAAGGTGTTAATATCCTACCTATGCAACAGAAGAATTTGAGGTGATTCTGAAAGGAGAGCAGTGGAAGTAAAGGGAACAGATTTCTCTGTGTGATACGGGGAGTTTTCTGAAGCATCACAGAATCACAAATCCATTGCAAAACAATTGTCAGCAGCTGCCAAATTACAATACACCTCATTCCTTTTAAGGAGGTATGCTTTATAATTGTGGTAACTGCTGCATGGAAAATATTCACTAATCATATACTACCAACACATTTAATGAGAAAATTATTAGTGTATAACTGTGCAGCTACCTTACAGTCAGATTGGTTTATAAAAATGAAGTTTGAAGACACAATACTGGGATTTATTTTATGAGTCACGAGTTCTGCTCATAAGGAAGACTTTTAGCCATCCCCCTCATAATCAATGCAAAAGCATTAACAAGATATATAGTATATTGCAACAGTTGAAAAAAATTTTAGTTGTACATGGATATCTATTTTAACTAAGAGAGGACTTACTTATTCTTGCTCACACTAGAAATACTGGCAGAATCCCACTTGTTTCTAAAGTGGGAATATCAGATTATACCACCATTCTATGAAAGATAAACAGTTTTCATGCAAAGTGAATAGTAAAATAAATGATTGAAATAGGGATTGATTGAAACACCCAGTCTTTCTCAGAGTTTCAAAGCAGTGCATTTACAGGGAAAAAAGTAATACTGTCAACAAAGAATGAAATCCTAAATTCTTCAGGTGTGCTCTTGTTACTATGATTTAGGTTGCAATGCTAAACAACTTGGAGGTAAGCAGCACTGAATGTTTGAATAGACAGGCTTGTACAGGCTTGAATGTATACATTGCATAGGTGTATGCGGACAGGCTTACAAAACACTGTTCCCAAGGTACATGGACAAGGGATTCAGGCTATGTTTCTGCCTGGTAAATGAGCAACAACTTGGTAGCAGAGGTAGGCCCATACATCCCAACAAGCCAGATACTGACAAATCACACCACCCCTTGTTAACAATCAATAAGTGAATGCAATCAGTATGTCCAGATTGGTCGGTCGGTCTGACCGACAGAAAACAACCAAGCTGTTATTATTTGTAGCATTTCCTACTGCAGAGGCACCACCCTGCTCTTCAATTTAGAAAACAGCTTCTCTTCTCAGCAGTGGGAAATATTGCAATGAAAGCGATATGCAGAGTTTGGCTTTAGTTCTCCCGTGTATATGGATATCACTTCGTTTATTGTACTATATTTTTTGTTTTGAAGAAGAAACTAAAAATTTCAAGAATTACATGTCCTATAACTAAACACAGGATTATGAACTTCTGATCTTGAACAAATAAGACAGTGACAGATGAAAGTATTTCCATGGAAATTCTACTGAAATAAATGTTTCAGCACAATTACATAGTAAAGTTTAAAATATATAAATAATAACTTTTAATACATTTTATTTGCCCACTTATAATGGATCCAAAACATCTATTTTGAGCATTAATTTCATGAGAATAGATGTATTACCACTATTCCATCCAGGAACAGCAGGATCTGGCTTGGGTCTACAGACTGCAGAAAGCTTCCCTCATTTTAGAAGTCAATGTGATTTAAGGACTATAGAGAAAGCTACTGTGGCAATAAATTGAGCCATTTCCAAAGATGGAGTAGCTATCAATATAAAACTATATCAATAGGAGATAATGTCTTATCTCTTTCTGCCCCTATTTAAAGACCCACCTCCATCTGCCCCTATTTTAGATGGGCTCGATTGTCAACAGTTGAAAAAAATTTTAGTAGTAGAAATGGGGGGTATTCGTATTCATATATGAATACAAATACCCCCATCTCTAGTCCTGAGTGTAGAAAGTTGGAATCTGAATCTATGGGATGTGTCTGTGGAAGTTAATTTCAGGATCAAAATGAAACGAGAGGAAAAAGCAACTCAGCTAGTGAGTGGAAATCAGGGAGGGAGTTAAAAAAAGATCCAGGTCTATTTTAATCATACTAAAACAGTCCTCGCACTAAGCCACAAATTTCACTTAAAATAATAATACATTTCCTTACTTGCTACTGTTGAAAGCATTATTTTGTTCAATAGAAGAGTTTGCATCTAATTACTACATTTTTTTTACTAGTTTGTTTACTATATTTATACGTATAAAGCAATGCTTACTTGTAATGCCTTCCAGTTTTGGCTTAACTACTCCTCAGTGGCAAATAGCATACATTTCTGGTATGATTTTAGACAAGCCAGTATAAATATTACCGTACATATTAATATTATTAGCATTGTATCGTTGCTGCATATATGCTTCTGTATTATTTTATGTAATGTGAAAAATATAATTATCCATGTTTTCATTGGACCATTTAGTAACCTTGGTCTCTCATGTTATTTTTGTGTTCTCTTCTTTGATGAACCAATTGTGGAAATAATTCAACATGGTGATTTTATCTTTATAGTTTGGAGCTATAACTGTACCTAATTCTTTTTCTAAAGTAACTCACAAATGGTGTAGCATCTGCCGCCACAACATTAGGCATATAAAAAAAATGGGGGCAGGGGATTTGAGTTCACAGAAATTATTTGCAACTTTACAAAGGCCCATTTCACATACTGACAACCACAATGCTTTTTTGCACATTTTAATGGTGTGCATATATGCCAATGAAAACTGTAAGGTTCAGGTGCTTCTAATAAGGAGTTGTTCCCCAAATGCATTAATAGCAATAGTACAGAGCTGAGGAACCTTTGGCTTGCCAGATGCTTTGGCCTACATTTCCCATGAGTTCCAGCCAACAAACAAGGCCAGTGGTAAGGAGCAATGTGAATTGCAGGCCACAGCATCCAAAGACCTGAGAAGCTACCCGCTCTTGGCCTTTTATTAGGCCCACTGAAATTTGTTTCTACATTGTGTCTCAAAGTTGTTTCATACTCCACACCTAGATTGCTTGCCCTCTCAAAATAATTTAGCAAAGCGCTTATCTGTGTGTGTACCTTTTAAAAATGAATAAACTTAATATTTTGTTCCCCACCTGCAAATGTTCATTTTTGTCCCTTCAGTGAATTCACTCTCTCAAAGACAAAGATGCTATTGATACAAGACAATGATTTTGTATTTCATATAATGATTTTATATTTTCTTGGTTCAGCTAAATTGCTTTTTCCTTTTGGTTTTGGGAAAAAAGAGAGTCTTTTCTTTGCTGTTTAAAATTGCAACCAATTATTAGAAATCACATTCCCCTTTTCCAAAATCCTGGCATATACAGTATATATGTGTGTACAGAGAAAATGTTCACCTATTTTTCTCCACCCCCACCCTGCCTCCCCACAACATTAAGGCTCCCTGATTAATGCCAGTTTTGAAATGGGTGCGTTATTTTAGCATAGCCTTCCTTGATATTGAACTGAAATTATGCCTCTGGAATGGTTGTCCTGACACAGCATTGGAGCATGTTCCATTTTACACAAAGACACTGTAGAGAGGGAACTCGGCCTGGTTGGGTTGCAGCAAATCAACAAGGAAACACACTGTTCCTGAGAAGCCTTCGAACAGACTGTAAATGCTTTCCAGTGCTCTGGAACCAGCCTTAAATTCTTCTGTAAACAAGAACTCTGCAAACCTAGGAAATAAGCAAAGAAACTAAGAAATCTATTATTGTCGGTTGCTCTATCAAACTGGTTTTGAAACTTCCTTGTTTAGAACAAAACTTAGCAAAACAGTCTTTTTTCCTTTTGGGAGACTTGTTTCTGAACCCCATTCTAATGCATTTATACTATCCTCTGCTAAGCTATATCTCGGTCTCTCATCATCAAAAGTGATATTATCTGTGCCCATCTATAACTGGCTCTGGAATGCCTACAACCCTATCAGAAACTTAGCACGAAAAGAGAGGAGAGGAGAGGAGAGAAATATTGGAGCACTTTAAAGATGAACAGTTATTTTCATTGTGAGCTTTCAATTAGAGATGAGCACGAATTAATTCAGCCTGAATCAGCGAAATTCATTGGTGAGACAACCACAGGTGCTGCATGTTTCCTCTCCTTACCCCCAGCTGGCTGCCTCACTCACAAGCCTCCACGTGCTGGGCTGGGTCCGCCTGCTGGGGTGGCTGCCCACTCCGGAGAGGGGCAGTGACTTTCCTTCCCTGCCTCCTGCAGCAGCTAACCACTCAGACAAGGGGGTGGGATGGGGATTCTCACTGGGGAGGTGGGGAGAGGAGACACATGTACCAGTGGTGATGTGCCAATGAATTTTGTTGATTTGGGCCAAATCAATTAGTGCCCATTTCTACTTTCAATCAATCATCTTAAAACTGCAGAGTTGGAAGGGACCCTATGAATCATCAAGTCCAGCCCCTATCAGTGAACCACTGAGTTATCCAGAGGTTCTTGTGGATCAAAATCCACTTCTTCAGATATAGCAAATTCATATCCCTTATATTTGTTCAGTGGTGGTAAAAGTCATGTCCAAGTAACACTGCAGGTAATAGACAAAATGATGATGGTTAATTCACACAGAAAATGTACCATCAAGCTGTTCCTTTAAAGACCTTAGCTGCAGTGATTGAGCTAGATAGACATGGTTCTCAAAAGAGTACTAAGAGTTGTTTATAGAACTGTCTATCAAGGCAGACAACTTTTTTATATGCATATATTACAGAAATCAGGATTATTAATATATGTAGTGTACTAAGAAACCTAGATCTCTACTGACACCCTTAGAGATGCATTGGAACTAGGTTATGTAACTCATTTCTGCTGTCTCCCTCTTGAGTTTTCCTTTGTAATTCCTCTTTCCTACAGTAACCACTTTGAGATCCATAGCAGGGACAGCGGAGAATTGGCAGTTCTAAAGACATAGCAGGAGAAGCACAGAGAGAGCTACGAGTTGACTAGAGGTGAAGTATTTCCCCATTTAAAGCAAACTGAACTTCTTTTAAGCTATGGAGGAAAGACATATTAAAGGGAGAAAGAGAGTAAAGGTGCTGACTTAAAATTCAGAAGACAATTCCTGTCTATGGCTTACCATACTATATGTGTTTATGCCAGGATGTTTGTTCTGTGATTGATCAGCATTTACAATTTTTATTTTTTGCATTTCATTTCCATCTGACTACCCAGTCCTACTTCCAACCATGTGTACCTGAAACACTGGACAACCCATTATGCATCTGACATAATGGGCTGTACTGCATGAAAACTCACACTATGCTATGTTTGCTAGACTGCAAGTTGCTGTAGGACATTGCTACTTCTGAGGCACAAAAGTCTCTTTCTGGAGGTCTGCTGTGTGATAGAGGATCTATTATTTTATAGGAGTGTATGTTTGCCTCCACTTATGCTCTGCTTCTGTAATTGTAAAGAAGACAAAGAAAGTGGACTTTGATCCATGAAAGTTCACACTAAAATAAAACTGTTAGTCTTTCAATTGCTAAAACTGTTAGTCCTACAGTATCATCATCATCATCATCATCATCATCATCATCATCATCATCATCTTCTTCTTCTTCTTCTTCTTCTTCTTCTTCTTCTTCTTCTTCTTCATTTTGTCTTTGTTATCCAAAGAAACTAAAAAATGCAGCACTACTGGAAAATCTCACATCTGGTGAGAGTTGGGATCAAACCTCGTGATATTTAATGTGTTGTTGCAATTAATGTGCATTTAAAAATGTTTTTAAAAGAAGAAAAGCATGGTTGGGGAAAGCAGGATTAGGAAACAGCTTGCTCTTCTCCCCTTCTGCTCCTAACCTGGCAAAAACTGTTCTCCCCTAAAGTTGTTATTTTGTATCAGGAAGGAAAAAAAACAGTACTAATACAATTTACATTGAGGAAATGCACCAAACAATGAATATAATAATGGTTTATGTTTTACCAGGTGCATCTGTAGAATTGAATGTTTCTGTTCAAGTTTACCAGTCTGAAGCATTATGGAAATGCACCAAACAATGAATATAATAATGTTCTATGCTTTACCAGGTGCCTCTGTAGAACTGAATGTTTCTGTTCAAGTTCACCAGTCTGAAGCATTATGTGTACAGTTGTGTCTCACTTGACGACGATAATCCGTTCCAGAAAAATCGCTGTAGAATGACGTCATCATCAAGCGAAAGTAAAAAACCCATTGAAACACATTGAAAACTGCTCAATGCATTCCAGTGGGCGAAATACCTCAGCATCCAGTGAAGATCCTCCATAGGGTGGCCATTTTCTGGTGCCTGTAATGCGAAAAATCCATCCTAAGCACAGCGGGGAGCCATTTTGAACAGAGGGTGGCTATCTTGAAAACCCGACAATCAGCTGTTTTTGATCATCGGGAAGTGAAAAATCGGTTCCCGAAGCAGGGAACTGATCATCGTAAAGCGAATTTTCCCTGTCTAAACATTGCTCCCGAAGCAGGGAACTGATAATCGTAAAGCGAATTTTCCCTACCTAAACATTGCTTTGTGATCACTATTGTGATCGCAAAAACCTCATAGTACAGCGGATTCGTCGTACAGTGAGGTAATCATTAAGCGGGGCACCACTGTACATGTGTGGCAAGTGTGAACTTTCCTGCAATATGTTCTATGCAGGTATTACTACCATTCTGCTATCCAAACCTCCACCAGTACTAACCTTTGTGCTCTGTACATGTATTTAGAATTTCCTGTTAGCCTGTAGAGGAGCAGAAACACATACGCACTGCCAGCCACACCATGACATATTCCAGGCCCTTTCTTCAGTAGTCCCTTCTCCCAAGTCAGCTCTCCACAACGGATACAACTATCCAGATACTGAGGCTTCTTGGAAACTAGGTATGCCTTTGCAAACATGTATGCAATGCCTGGGGAAAGAACAAAAAGATGTTATTTTAAATACCTTCAAGTAAATAAAAGTTTGGAACAGTTCCTATGTAAGATCATATAATTCTCCCTATATATTATGGGTATAAAATTTAACTCAGCTGGTTGCTAAATTTGAACAAGTTTGTTCAAATCTTGTTCAAGTCAAATCATTTTACAAGCCCATCACTGTGCACCACAGCAATTTTGCACACAACTGTACGTTCTGTCACAAGATAACCTAAGCACACAAATATCCCACCTCTTCTAACCAAACTTTGCCAAGTCCATCTCCCTGCGGTTGATTGAATTAAAGAGTAATGTAATCACTGATTCCAATGAGATTCTATGAACTGGGGTGTGTGTGTGTAAAGAAGACAAGAACATTGTGACACTTTGAAAACTAATTGCTATATTTTAACATGAGCTTTTGTAGACAAGTCCACTTCTTCAGGTATAGAAGTTTGAAAAAGTGGACTTGTCCATGAAAGCTCACACCAAGTACAGCAGTTAGTCTGTAATGTGCATCAGCGTCTTTGTCTTCTTTTTCTTTTTTGTTTTTGTCTACGATGCTAGCACAGACTAATACAGTTACCTCTTCTAAAACTACAACTGTGGAAGATATCTTAATTAAAGAGATCACAGAATTGGGGGGCAGTGGAGACTTTGTCGAAGGAGAGATCTAAAGAATTATTTTAGGTTTTTTTGTTTCCTGCATTTATTGTAAAATCAATAATTGCTTTTACACTGAATATGTATCAGTGTGCATTAATTGCTATGAAAGCTAGCTCAGCCACTGGATGGGATGCGGTGGTTGCCCCAGGCAGCTTATTTTGGGAGTCCTGAAAGAGAAACAAACTATTTAACATGGATTATGTAGGTGTATATGTACAGTATGTGCTCATGACAGTATTTTTACTATTAGCCATGGGAATTGATGCCTTTGAGATTTCCTAGCACAGGTGCCAAGACAACTTGTGCTATAGAGACTCATCCTGAGAGGTCATTTGCTTCTTTCAAGAAGCAAAATGCTTTGGGCTGCCCCTGAATACACTATGCCATGGACCCGTTTTGCTTTCTGAGCTACACAACTACAAACAGAGGTAGGTGTGCAGGAATCAACAAAACTCTTTCAAGGAGCTTTGTTTTCTAACATCCCCATGGAATCATCATGTTCTCTGCATCACTTTCTGCAGGACAGAAGTCCTTCTGACATTAACTTTGGATTCCTGGCCTAAATCCAATTGTCAGTTCCAAATAGAGTAAACCTCATGGAGGGATGACACATACATTAACTGTTGGCTCAACATGCTCTTCCTCTAGTGATTACCACTGTGTCCCCCCCCCATTTTACTTAGCTAGCATTTACTTTTTAAAAAAAGACTGAAGAAGCCCTTTTATGTTTTCTAATGGCCAAACATACTTTTCAAAAATTTAAAAAGTGTTGTGGGGGGAGTAAGGTCCTGGGGACCCCTCAAAACATTGCAAAATAGCCCCCTAAGTGGTATGGAGTTGAGCTCACAATTATTATTTTAAAAATATTTAGGAGTGCTAGCTGCAACTTGCCCACCTCTCATTTAATGGGTCTATCTAGCTTGGACTAACAAGTAGATTTAAGCCTTATAACACTAGTTTATAATCACACAAACAGGCCCTAAACATTTGGATGTTTAACTGTTGTTGTACCAAGGTATACACTGCATGGATTTCAGTAGCAATAGAAATACAGTAGAAATGTGGCAGCCTGACATCCGAAGCAAGAGCAGATAAAAATTGGCCTGCTTTCTCAGCAAAATAGTATGCTGTGGTGTTACAGTGTGTGATATTATAATGACGAATTTCTGACTCTGCTTCACAGCATCTACATGAGAACCTGGAGCTCCATGACACCAGTGAACAAGTTCATTCTCCCGTTCAATCATCTCTCCTAGTTCTGGAGGCCAGTTGCAATTCTGCTCTTGATCCATGAGAAAGTCAACGCTCTGCCATACTAGATCCTGATCAGCAGGCGAGAGATATTCATAATAGGATAGCAGCATCTGTAGAATGGATGAAAGTCCATGGGCAGCCCCTGGGGAGAACAGAAATAATTATATTTAAGTCATACTGCACCAAATTTGCATAAGGTTTTAATTTAGAAGGAACGAAGTGATTAGCTAAGTAATAATTCCAAAACTCAGAGTTATGAGAGATTCAAAACAAACAAAACACAAACACACTCTTTTTTTAAAAATTGTATCACAGACAAACATACAGGACATACCAAACATACATGCAGGGAGGTGTTTTCTATACAGTCATATCTAATATATAGTCTTGACTACACAACCTTGTTACTAAAATCTTTAAACCATATTATATTCTCCACTCTGTATATATATGTACTGTATATATACACATATATATTCAGATCAAAATTTCTGGTATTAAATTCAGCAAAAGCTTTTCTAATTTGAAGTGATTACCATAATACACTATCTAATTTGTAATCTTAACTACATAACTATGTTATAATACACATATGTTTACTTTTCACTCAGCAATTTCTGTTATTGTATTTAACATGGACCTTTCTAGTTTAAAAGTTATCTACAGTATACTTATCTACCGCCTATACAAAAGAGAGTCCAAAGTTGCTAACAGTATTTTAAACCTGAATTAATCTTAATATATAATCTTAACTACATAATAATATTATAGTACACATGTTTGCTCTCTCTATATATATATATCTTCCAGTCAACAATTTCTAATATTGTATTCAACATGGACATTTCTAATTTATATATACTTATCAACCACCTATACAGAAGAATTGCTGACAATATTTTAACCTAAATTAATCTATATGTATATGTGTATCTTTCAATCAACAACTTCTGTTAT